ATAGAGTCGAGGGGATTATGCCACCTGTTCGTGGTGCCAGGACTCATATTGGCCACTGCTCAGTTTAAGTGAGGACAAATACTGGCCTCTGGCGAAACTGGCAAGTTTAAATAGCACACTTGCCATTGGAGAAGATGGAGACTTCCAAACTGTTACATAAAAATGCATTACGGCCCTGAAGCTGATTCAATCTTTACCTTATGTGGGAAAATGAGAAGGAATTGTCTACAATTTTGAGCAGCATGGGCTAGCACAATGTTCTCACCAATCCCAAAATAGCTTATCCCAGGAGAGAAAAAAAAAAGAAGTTACGATACTAATTTTTTTTTTAATTCATCAGCATTGATATTGGATATTTAATTATGGATGCTCTTTTTTTTGTAACACTTTAGAATAGGGAACACATATTCACTATTAACTAAGAGTTTTCAATGAACAAACTCCTAATTTGCTGCTCATTAATAATTAGTAAGGTAGTTGTTAAATTTAGGTATGGGGTTGGATTAAAGGGATCTAAAATATGATCATGCAGAATAAGGCATTTGTATATGCTTTATAAGTACTAGTAAACAGTCAATTTGCTAGTAATATGCATGCTAATACAGAACTAGTTAACAGTGAGAATTGGTCCTTAAAATAAAGTGTTATCAATATGAAAATATACTAATAATTCATTAATAAATAAATAAATCATTAGCAAATATCTGTTTATTATGGAAGCCCGTTTCCGCCACTGAATAAAAAAAAAAAATGGTAATTGCGATTTTTTTTTATCTCACAATTCTGACTGCATGATACAAACTGGCAATTCTGATTTTTTTTCTCAGAATTGCGAGATATAAGTTGGCAATTCTGACTTTTTTTCTGTCAACTGTATGGTATAAACTAGTAATTGTGAATTATAAAGTCAGAATTGTGAGATATAAACTCGTAATTACTTTTTTTCTCAGAATTGTGAGTTTTATATCTTGCAATTCTGACTTTATTCTCAGAATTGTGAGATACAAACTCGCAATTGCGAGTTATAAAGTCCAGTTCTGAGGGGGGAAAATACTTTATTATGCAATTATGACTTCATTTCTCAGAATTGTAAGATTATATCTCACAAATCTGAGAAAAAAGTCAGAATTGCGAGATGTACAGACAATCTTCCAACACTCTTGAAGATAAAACTTCTTGATTGGCATCTATTATTCAATGAAGAACTTTTAACATCCATGGAAGATTTCCAATTGCAATTGGTGCAATTTCCATTGCACCAAAGGTGGAAAAAGCTGTTCAGATTAGTAAAATATTGTTTGCACTCAGAAAATGTCCCCACCAAAAGGATCGTTTGGAAACCCAACCATGGTGGTTCCATGGACTTTCTGCAAAACCCTCCTTTTGTAACCTTTATTTTAAGACTGACGAATGTATTGGAAATAGGAGACAGCATTGTGTCTAGAATGAGGAAAGTGCATCACGTGCAGTCATTATGATAAGACATGAGCCACTAGGGAAAGGAGAGAGACAGATAACACCAATATTTGTTTGCTAACTAACAGTAGAAACATAATGCTACCAGCGCAGTTTCTTTTCGAAGCACCATTGTCTGAAGCACTCTAATGAAAAATAATTATTTTAGCTTGTTCTCTAAGTGAGAATGTGCAATTTTACATTGTGTTGACTAATGTTCTTTTGGATGAACGCCACGCACATTAATCCTTGTCTTTGCATTTAACAAAGCTAAAGGTTTATAATCATCATTACTATTTATTCATTTACATTTTTCAAGCATCGCTTCAGCAATTTGAGCTACTGTGAAAATTAGTCCTCCACTGAGGTAGCCAAGACATCAGCTCTGTTCCAAAACCTAGTGAGCTGCTTCTGTATAGGCAGCATTTTAAAGCATCATAGGCACACTCTCAACGTGAAGACTGCTCCAAAGTGTAATTTATTAAACTCAAACTTAATTATGCTGGCTCCTAAGACACCATCTTTTGCCCAAATGGAAAGGCAACATCATATGTATCCTTCACAGAGAAAGTATTCTCAGAATCCACTGAAATGAACAAAGAAACAAAGTTGATTATAAGGAATTTTTACTTCTTTCAATACTGAAAAGTATAAATAGTTTAAAAAACTGACTTTTTAACCCAAACGTCCTGTATGCGATGCACATTTATGCTAATTTAGTCATTCCTCTCATGCTGTGTGAATTTAAATCAATTGTGTTTTGAGTTGTGTGGTTCACTGTTGCTGCCTATATTAGTCACTTATGAGGTTTCATTTCAGTTAGAATGATGCCTTAGAAGGGAGCTGCCTATGTAGTTATTAGCAGCTCACATGGTTTTCAAATTTTTGTAAAAAATGTTCATAGGTTTATAGTGTTTTTGCATTGCTGCCAGTGATTTTTGTCTACTGCATGTGGAATAAAACTGTTCAGCATTCTGACACAGCAAAGGCAACAAGCCCTCGCAGAGAAACAGCCAATGTCGGTGATTTTTCTTACATTATATGATCTCTATACTTTCAAGGCTTTCAGATGATAGGGTATTTGATGGGATTGTAGGAATTGTTATCTGTAGAATGTGCGGCTTCTGTCCATAAAGTCAGTCGGCTTGAAAAGCAAACTCGCTGAGTTTTCAATCATTATACCTGCTCTGTTTTATTCAAAGTTTTCAGGTGAAGATCAGAGGTTTGGCAGTCATGACAACTCACTATGTGTTCTGTAGAAGTCTAATAAAACATTACAGAGTGTATGTATTCTGCAGAGTGTTTATTATTTATTATTGTAGCACAGCATCTGCAGTCAGTAAAGGGGCCTTCATGCTGACAGTGATCGACAGAGACGAAGTCATTCATTTTCTATAAGAGTTTGTGATTTCTGGCAGCGCGAATGACAGTGCCAGTTGTGGGCGTGTCCAGCGATGTCACAAAGGTGATACAAGTTTAACTTTATGCAAATTAACAGCAACTTTATGCAGCAGCTACCAGTACAAATGAAAACAATGGAGTTCATGTGATCCGTCAGTAGAGAGTGATTTCATTGTTCTATGATTTGTCTGTGCTCACGTGGTGCGATATAATTATGCATGGAAACTATGTTAGAAATTGTCAGCATTGAGTTTGATTCATGCATTGATAATTGTTCATCTTGTTCCTGATATGATGAATTATGCACTACTGTAATTTATATACCAACACTTTCGCCTCCAGAATGAATTTTGAGCAGGAAGAAAACAGATTTTGTTTAAAATAGAATGAAAGCTTCTTTTTTTTTTTTTACCAGCAAACATCTCATTTAGACAGACAGACAGAGAGATAGACAGACAGACAGAGAGATAGACAGACAGACAGATGATAGATAGATATATAGATAGATAGATAGATAGATAGATAGAGAGATTTTTAAAATTACAATTCTTCAATTCTGATTTTTTTCACAACTCTGATAGTTACATAGCCCGCCAATAATGTGAGCACATCCAGCAGTAGAAACTAGTGACCAACAGTATAGTGACCCGATGACCTCCAATAATAATATCTCTGTCAGTGTGAATGGGGCATTAAGTGGTGTTTTTAGGGGCCGGCAGAGCTGAAAGTGGTGGGTCAACCAAAATATAGCTTTTACATAAGGTCAACAAACCATCTGAATACCAATGTGCCCTTACATTCAGAGATCCATGCGGCACTACTAGCTAAAAGTGTTTGGCCTTCTCTTAACATTACTCTCCTGTACCGTGTTCAAGGCTGGATCCAACGCTTCGAAAGCTGCAATTTTATCAGGTTCCTTGGGCAGGAATGTCTTGTTCTTCATGCACTGCCTCTATGCTGTCATAAAGCTGTGGGGTTGACCCTAAAATGTGTAGAAAATGTGTTGACCCTAAAATGTGTAGAAAAGGTTCCTGCCTGGTTTTGTTCCTAAGCCCAGTTAATTGTTCCCTGCGGTCTTGTAACGTGAATCAGCCTCAGGGCTGAAGCTTTAATTCACACGAGTTTCTCAGAAACAGAGTCGTTTTAATGTGTAAATGTCAGTTTGTGGAAACAAAAAATGCCCACACATATTATGCTTTTCTATTCATTACTAAAATCATCAGCGTGATAGTCAGAGATAGAAAAAGAGGGAAAAAGAGTGAGTTTCAGCAGCAAAAGAACAATGCGTATGTCATCCGCATGCATATTCTGTGAAGTTGACTGTGAGGAAATGTCAAAACCATCTCATGCTCTAAAGAGGAGAATAATCAAACTGCTCTGCTTGTGAAATAGAGCACTAACCAAAGCAACTCCTCTGCACCCCCTCTGAGTTTGCTATGCCATTATGCAGTTTTATCCCCTTTGAATATTTCTGAATATACTGATTGACAGTGGGGGGTGTCATTATCGCAAACTGTGTGAAGAATGAGTCACTGCTATTACACAATCAAAGAACAAAAGAGGGGTGATTTTAAAGTCTCTCACCTTTCATTAGAACAGGTTTCAGGCTATACAAAACCTGGATGTAGACTTTCTTTTGTGAGACAAGTTGCTTCTGTCTGGAGTATTTAACAGAATTCTGTAAAATATGTCTTTACTACTGTTTGGGTTTCTAACACCACTTCAGCGAGGGGCAAAAAAAACCTAATTTAATGGCAAGGTGTCTTTTGTTACCTTTTTTTGGCTGTAATGCTTGTAAGTAGGGCTGCACGATTTGGGAAAATAAAAAAAAAACAACTGCAATTTTTTGCAGTATTTAATTATAAATTAATAATTATAATTATAATTGATAATAACAAATATACTATTTTTCTAACCTAATTGTGCCTTTTTCATCACACAGCCTGTGGCGTCCAAGAGCCCCACCTCCTCTCGCTTTACGCGTCCGCCTGCGCGCGCTTCTAGAGGGGAACAGCGCGCGGTGCTGAGAAATCTCTTCGCTCACTCTCTCACATGCATAGAAATGCGGGATTAACCCTGTGCGGAGAAGATCCCTGTGCCAAAAACTGCGTTGATAGTCTACTTCTGAGGAAAGCGAAGGGGAAAAACCCGACTCCATACGCTCTACCATGTACTGTTACATTTTTACATTATTTCCGGTAGATTACGCTATCATTCCGTAACGAATAACGAGTGTGATCAATTTTGTGAGAACCTGTACTCTCCTAAAATGAGTGTTTGGGGATTTATGGACTGAAACGAGGGAAGTTGCTGGCATTAGAACTGTTCCTGTGTTGAGAAACAACAGAAAATACATCTCAACACCCATCATCAGCCGTAATTTCTCATTCATTAACACTTAAATGAGTGCCGACGTTATCAAACTGACGCGGAGTCGTGGGAATGGCGAGGAAAAATAACGCGGCCACTTATGGATTGGTTTCCAACGAAAGGATTTTATGTTTGCTTGATGTCTGGATTCTTTAAAGCAGGTGTTTAGGGGTCCGTGTAACCACGAAGGAAGCGTCAGCTGTAGTTGATCCTCAGACAAGAAGCCTCATTCTCGACAGGAAAAAGTGATCAACGAAGGTAGGCAACGAACTTTATTGACGCCACTAGAAAATGAATAAAGCTGAGGGGAATGTTCGATCTGTCGATGGGTCATATTTAAATATTCGATACACGGCTGTTTGCCGTTGCAGAAACTATAGTGATTTTGAAAGATTACGTATCGATGTCAGAGAATTGTGTCAGCCCTTGTTATTTAGAGATTCTGACCACATTTAGATTTAGACGGGGTTTATTGTGTTGCAGAATCAATCGGGCTGTTTAGGTTTACATACAAATAACCAAATGACACTTGTTTGTTGCCGCTAGTATTTAATGCGACGCGAATTCACGAATCGTATGTATTAGTGCAGTAAACGTTTTGCAGATCTTTTGGTGCGTATTTAAGGTACCGAACATCTAGTCTTACGAAAACAGCTGCGATGAAGATAGTTGACGAAAGACCAGTTGAATGTGCTGTTTGCCGTGCGCAACTGCAAGTCATGTATAACATTTAACGATTATCGTTAAAATCTCGCCATCTAGCCGCACTGGGTTGGATTGTATTCCACAGGGCTGCAGATATAAAGGAAATCGCAGTGGAGCGCCCACCTGGGCTGGCTGGGTCAACAGCAGGATCAGTGTTTGGTCAAATCCCTGTAAGACTGATTACAGGATTCCCCCATCCACCATCTCCACCCACAACCCTGTCTGAGCTCCAAGGAAAGGATGGTGGGCATCTACAAAGTGGGGTTTATAAAAAACAAAAACAAAAAAAATATTTCATACCCCAAGTGAAATAATAATAATAATAATTATTATTATTATTATTATTGCTACATATATGATCACATAGCAATAACAAAAAAGAAAACTAATAATGCACTTAGAAAATAAGAAATGATTCTACTCCTATTGATCTTGTGCAAAGGATAAAAATAGTGCATGGTCTTAAACAGCCATTACTGAATTCATTTGCCTGTAAAATGACCCAGCGTTTGTCCACAGGGAAAAGTATGGCTAATAATATGGGTAACTGATTTAATTGGACTGAGCTGAAATGCTAAACCTGTTGAACCTGAATGAATGCGATAACAGATGATTTACAGCACTGCATAAAAATAAAAGGTCACAATACTTCAGGGAAAATAAAATGTCTGCATGAACTATCAGTCTCAAGAGCAGAGCGAAAATGACTTCAGAACTTGTTTAGGGTGGCTTTCATGCATGTTCATTTCTGAAATTGTTGCAGGCATCTTGTGCAGTGTAAGCAAGGCTTGAAATGTACAACTGAGGGTTCTGTCTGAAAGTGCTTGTGCTGTATTTTCAACAGACCTCTGGATATTCTCAGTACTGTGTGAGATTGATACACTGGCTGAATGTGGCTGGCTCATTTAGATTGTCTAGGTGTTTACCAGCGTTCACTAGGGAAGTAATACATAGTGAACATATGCTCTGCTCTTTGCGTCTCCACAGAGTGTAACCAACTGATGTCTTTGAAACAAACCCTACAGTTAATGTTTTCATCAACATATTTTTCGGCACTTACACTTGAGTTCAGAGCTATTATAATAACCTTTTGTTCATGAGGCAACCCCGAATAGCTAAAAATCAACAGCACTTAAATAGTTTGTTGAGTGTTTGTAAACTCTTATCAGGATGAGATGAAGTGCTTATGCTCTTGGGGTATTTGAAGAGTCTCTTATGTAAAGCGTGTTTCCATGTTTTACATTTTTAACATTATTTTTATTATGATTTGCTGGATCCATGTATGCATCTGTCAATTTATTGTGGCTGTTGAGGGAGTGAAAAAAATATAATTATATAGCTTCTACAACCTGTGAAAGGTTCTATGAAAAAGCAATCAAATGATCC